AGGGGATATATGCTGTCTGAGTGTTATCTTTTCAGGACTAAATGAGTTAAAGCTCCTTCTCGACCCTCGCCATACATCTACTACTACTACTACGTCGTGCTACTATGAAAATTCTCTACAATAACTAAGTATCTACACTTGATAAAATTCTATCGAGCGTTAAAAAATATTATTCACGAAACTTATCTTCATAGTAACGTCGCTATTGTATAGATATTATTATTTTATTTATTTATAATGTATGTATGTATATTTTATATATGATTATTATGTAGTTATATGTATGTGTGTATGATATGTAAATTGTACATCCAACAACTAATTGTTATACCTCGACCAGACACAGTCTCCATCCAAAGGTTGCCTGGAAGAAATCGTTATTTAGCGATAAGGCCGCCCATTGTTACCTCTATATTATAATTATGTTTTTTTCTTTTTATATTTGATGTACATATTAATTTATGTAATTATTCTTTCTGTTAGAGGAACAATAAAGTGTTTTTCATTCATTTCATTCATATCCATAGAATAATGCAAGTAATATCGTTTTACACTAATCACATTTCTTTAAACAAGTTCTTGAAAGAAATTAATTATTTCAGGAAAAACTTAATTATCACAAAAAAAAATATTCTAGCTCATTCGTATGAAAAATCCAAGAGAGTAAAAAGTTGAAAAAAATGTGCGAGACATTGGAATTTCACTTTATTTTCAGAATGACGTAGAATATACCTTTATATTTACTGTAATAATACAGTAAGATGAGTACGTATAAGAGCGGAATATAAATATTACGGCAAAATTTTGACTGAAAGTATTGCTATTACGCTTGGGTTAAGGCGAGACATAAGGTCTCTGAATAAAGATACATATTACGATAAGAATATTCTTCTTCGTCGTAATTTAATTGGGTGGACACACTCGGATCTTAATGAAATTTAACATAAAGAATAAACAAATAAATCTGGTTAATCACGGCTTTTGTTTCCATTTGAAATGGTTTCCAGATGGAACCGCGTGAAAGTAAACCTGTCAGTACCTAGTATGTTGCGCTCTTTTACTTCTGCCACCAGGTGACAGATTCAAATTCAAATTCAAATTCAAATTCAAAAATCATTTATTCATGTAGGACATTTTAGCCGCTTAGGAACGTCAAATTTTTACATTATAATTTTATTTTTTTCCCTACCGTCCAGTTCGGTATATAGATCCAATTGAGAAGAACTGGCAAGAAACTCAATTGAATTACTTTTTTTTTTAAAGCCAGTTTATTTACAATGTATATTTATTTAGGTGTCTATGTCTAACATTAAATGAAAATTCAGTGCATGAACAACTATTGCCATGCACACTCGTCATTCAAGTAATCGTTTAGTGAGTAATAGGCTTTGCTCAGTAAATATGATTTAACAGATGTTTTGAATTTATTTAAGGGTAATTCCAACATATCCTTTGGTATCTTATTGTAAATTTTTATACCTATTCCCATAAAAGACCTATTAACTTTTTCTAAACGATACTTGGGGACAGCAAGTTTGTCTTTAAATCTTGTATTAATATTATGAATATTGCTGTTTTTTGGAAATAAGTCAAGATTTTTATGAACATATAGGATATTTGAATATATAAATTGAGAAGCAAGTACAGGGGCGGCAGTTTTCTGTTTCTAGTTACATAATATATAAATATTTTATAGTAGGTAAGTATATATAAATATTTTACACTGTGGCTCGGTTATTTATTCTTTATCACATTTAATAATATGCGTTCATACTAATTCTTCTATGCGTATAATTACCTCCAATAAAATAATTAATATTTATAATTAAAAAAATATTTCATTAGCATAATAAAAATATGCATGTTTTATTTAATTTTTAAATTGGATTCAAAAGTACGCGAAACGACGCGCATATATTTTTTTTTTTATTTCTTCTAAATTAATTTCTTGGTCGTGTAGGTATGGGAAAACTGTCATGCAGCTAAATTGAAGGCAAACTAATTTCGATGTAACGTTTTCGCGCTGTGTGCTTGCAAACGACACACGATTAAAAGTTTCAATAACCTATTAACTTTTAGTTTTTAGTTTTTTAGCAAACGTTAAATAGTTCAATAAAATGTTACTAAAATGCAGAATTGAGACTAGGCCCGATGCAGTCTTTTGTCTATTTAGAAGTTTAGAACAAAATATATTAATTATTTTTAGCATTGCAAGCAATCGAACATATATATATATATATATATACGTATATGTTATTAAGTGTATTTATTATAAAAGTCCTTAGTACTTTGGACACCGATTCCGACACCGATTCCGCAGACGGCTACACCGACACTGACACCGACACCGACACTGGCGTCGACACCAACACCTATGCCAACACCGACATTTATACCGACACCTTTTTTTTTACAAGGTGAAATCCTTCATGGTGATCCGCACGCTCCGGGAGAGGCCTGCGGATACTGCCGGACTCCTACCGGCTAAAACCCTTTGGTGTCCTCCGAGCGCTTTGTTGCCAGGGTTACGTGATCGTGACATCAATCGTGAACCCTGGCAGCGCGGGCTCTTCAGCCCCACTCCTGAGTGGGGCGCGTGTTGTCCGCGCGCGCCAATTCCTGGCCTCATCCCTCCTTAGGTGACAGCCGACGTCCCCGCGTCGGCTACCGCGAGGCCCGTGGTGGGACAATTAAAAAAAACTTTTTTTCATTATTGCATGCCATTATTGATACGCTACCTCTATATCGTTAGAACTTTGAATAGTTGATGCAAGGATATGGATAAGACTTAAATAATTTTGAACACGAATGAAAGCAATTATGGATAATTTTACATAGGAATTGGCTTTTGGTCGCATTAACTGTATAAATATGAAGAAATTTAAAAGTAGACTAGGCAGTACGGTTTAAGGGTCTTTGCCTGTTCCATCATTAAAAAGGAGATGGACGAATATGAGGGAAAGAAATATTGGATGACATGCATAACATATGCAAAAGAATCATTTTACTGAAGATAAATTAAATTTTAAAATAATTACTCCCGCTCGAACAATTCATTGATATCGGCAGGCCAGTGACAGACGAATGGTGTCGAATCAGATTGCATTATTACTGGATGAATATAATTAAATTTATGCTATAAATTCAATTCATTGTTCGAACGAAATGAAGTCAAGTATAAATTTAACCACAAAATCGGTATTCGCTAATGCCTATGATTTCCATGGGAATTGATTTTTGTATATTTTTCTATGTTGTCCTATAAAGAGAAACGAAACTAATTTAGACTTTTTTATTTGAAAATTAGTGTTTCCTGTGTCATCAGTAGTTTTTGAGTTATCCTTCCTTACAGTTGAAATGTGTTTTTCATGGACATACGATATAATAGCATGCCTCTTGTCCTGTAAATTCACTGTCCAATCTTTTCCTTCAACACATCTTACAAAAAAGCTTGAGGTGTGAAGTGGAGTCATGGTGACCATGGTGTCATGGTCACGGTGTACCCATGTGTGGAAGAGGATTGTTAGTAATGTACACTACTAACAATCCTCTATAATAATACATTACTAGCAATGAGCTCTGTCAGGTTGACCTGTCAGGTTTAACAAGATGGGCTCACTGACCTGAGCTTATACTAATCTTATCATTCTCCACTGGTGCCTCGCGAGCTTAAACCGTTAGCTCGAAAGCACTCCGAACTGACGGTATATTTGACACATCATATTAGTACGACACGAAGAACTTATATTATGTTATCTGTGTTAATACTATTATGAAAGGAAAACTAGATAGAAAGAGAGGAAGGGGAAGACCGAGATACAGCTATATCAAGCAGGTTTAGAAAAAAGTAAGACGTACACCGTCTCGCCACCTCTCACGATCTTCCATCAATCTTTGATACGACACGACTCTAACTTTTTTCTAAACCTGCTTGATATAGCTGTATCTCGGTCTAACAGATTTTTTATATGAAAGTGCTGTCAATTAGTTTTTTACTAATTGACAGCACTTTCATATAAAAAATCTGTTAGATAATATCAATATTGTGCGCACAGTGGTCAGTCCGTAAAAGGTTTATTCCGCGCCGGCGGACCTTAATGGATCGTGGTAACGGGCCAGTGGAGCGGCTAATCTAAACATATGGAAGGCCTAATGCCCCCAAATATTATACGTAACCGAATTTTCTATCCAGGTCAATCTTATTTTATATCGACTCTTTACACCCTAAATATAAGAATTAAAAAAAATACCAAAATAGATAATAAAGAAAAAAAGTATAAAAGCAAAGAGTAAGCAGAATGTTACAGATTACGTAACGAAGTCTGAATTATAATAGATTACACATATAAAGGACATATTCGTATATACTTGTTTTTTTTTATATAATAATAAAAAGAGAATGAGTACCCACTCAGATTTTTAATGGATAATAATGGAATGGTGCAGTCCCGTACTCTCACTGAACACGCTGACGGGGCACCTGTAGAGGATGATAGAATGGAAATCAGGTTAATTAGCTCTTCCCCTCCGATCGATCCCTCATCCAATTCAAACGAGGATCGATATTACGACCGCCTGAGCCAAGGTTCGAACCACTAGCGGTGCCCTCAGACTAGTCTTATCCATCAGGTGGGAGTTGGCCTCCTCCGACTATTTTTATAAGGATGTTAATGGAATGGTGCACCCGCCTTTGCTAACTTTTTACGCTGGCGGGGCACTAGTGGAGATAAGATGAGCATGAAGTCAGGTCAATTAGCCCATCGGGACAATCACCAAGAATTTTTCACCTAGGAGTAGTAGAGGTAAACCTGACATGATACATTGCTAGCAATAAGATCATCAATCCACATTACTAACAATCCCCTTCCCCCCTCCCCCATTCTCATTCATATATACTCATGCAATACAGTTGTTATGATGAATACAGGTGCAGTTAGCGCAGTAGTTATTAGGATTATAATATTAAAAAAAATATATAAAAAAACAAATTTATTACCAACTAATATAACAATATTGCAATTATTAACCTACTTGTTACTACGTCTATTTAGCAAATTTCCCTTAGGTTTAAGCCTATTATCTATATATTTTTGTTTCTCCTCTGCCTCAGCTTTCAGTATATCTTGATGTCTTTTCTTAGCAAAATCAAGCTCAGCACACATTTCCACGATTTGGGCAGCATAGTCCTGCTGTTTCAATATTCGAAGTTTTTGCTTGTGCTGTAAATAAAATTTAAACTATTAATAATATTTATGTATATTTTGGACTTGTCTGTTCGGGTTACAGCTAGTAATTTATTTATTTCCTTTTTTCAAAATTGCAATAGCATATATTGGTGGTTACTATGTCCTCTCTAATTGAATGTATTATATATATAAACCTGCGTCTTGAATACTTCTATCTATTAAAAAAACGCTTCAAAAACCGATGCATAGTATTAAAGATTTAAGCATACATAGGGATGGACTGACAGCGAAAGCGACTTTGTTTTATACTATGTAGTGAATGAATTATACATAGTGATTATTTGCTTACTGACACTCAATACTGTACTCGGACTTTTGCTGTATGAGGGCGCCACCTACGTTTTTAGTTAATGGCTGTCATCTTGTTTTAAATCGTTTTGTAGTTCTGCATGATCTTTATCGTATTCAAAGTGACACTAACATATAAGAAATCTTATTCAATTATTTGTTTTAATATCGCAAACTAATCGAATCATTACATAGTAAAAAACTAAGTCGCTGTCTCTGTCTATCCCTATATATGCTTAAATCTTTAAAACTATGCAACAGATTTAGAAGAGGTTTTTTTAGATAGATAGTGTTTCAAGAGGAAGGTTTATATGTATAATACATATACACCTTTAAAACTATGCAACAGATTTAGAAGAGGTTTTTTTTAAATAGATAGTGTTTCAAGAGGAAGGTTTATATGTATAATACATATACACCTTTAAAACTATGCAACAGATTTAGAAGAGGTTTTTTTTAAATAGATAGTGTTTCAAGAGGAAGGTTTATATGTATAATACATATACACCTTTAAAACTATGCAACAGATTTAGAAGAGGTTTTTTTTAAATAGATAGTGTTTCAAGAGGAAGGTTTATATGTATAATACATATACACCCATGCGTACCCTAGGTGGGTAGCTAGTTTAATAATAAATCTGTATTTTTGTAATCATGTACAAGCTCATTCGAAAAGAATAAGAGCTGTGTTTCTTGTCAGTTCCTGTTAGCTCATAATCAATCAGATGGATGTTGATATTTTTACCATGACATCTTCATAAGAGCCTGTAATAGACCGACATGAATAAAGATATTTTATTTTAATTTAATTTGATTCTTGTTAAAAAAAGGCTAGCTGACAGAAAGGCATAATATTCATATATGTAACCCATATTTATAAGATAAATTTCCAAAAGAGCCATATTTACAAAAATAAGTGTCAAGTCTTTGTACAGATATTATTAAATCTATAGCATGAAGCTATCAAATCTGCCAAGTGCAATAAAGTGTATGACTAGAACCTTAGCATTTTTATTTACATAATCCCTATAAATTGTTATGAAAGTAAACATCTTACAAGACCATAATTATTAATATGTAAAAAAATAATTGGCACTCAGATTTAATTCAGTTTAAAAAGAAAAAAGTTCTTAATTCAAAAATATTTATTTTCATTTTAATCTTAGGTAATTTTTTGGCCAGTTCTTTATATGGTTATAACAAAGAAGAGATGTGTTTTTTTTTGTATAATTCATACTAAATTGATCTTATGATTGAAACTACATTTATATGAAGCTTTTAATAAATATTTCCAATTTTCCAATTCACTTCTTGGGGAAATCTGTTTAATTTCATAAATTGCTGACTTTAGGCTGGTATACCCATTACACTAACCCTGGATATAGTTTATCCTGGATTTATTTTCTTTTAATTAATCATTTATGTTATCAAAAGAATTAATTTATAACTTATATATATAAACCAGTAGAGGTGTTGGTCTCCCATCCAAGAAAGTATAATCAGGTCCATCTGTAAGAACACCCTCAGCATTGCGATTTGCTGAAAGCCCCTGAGACAGTCGCCATTGCTTTGATTGTTGTACCATAGTACTGGAAAATGACCGGACTGCAACTGAAAATTTATAAAATTCTTCTATTATTACCACCTATAATAGTCCTTTTATTAATTTTAGAAAGAATGGCTGATAACAATGAAAAATGTTATACTGGATAATAATAGAAACTGGCTTTTAAAAAAAAGTAATTCAATTGAGTTTCTTGCCAGTTCTTCTCAATTGGATCTATATACCGAACTGTACGGTAAGGAAAAAATATATAATGTGAAAACTTAACATTCATAAGCGGCTAAAATGTCCTATCTGAATAAATATTTTAATTTATTTGAATTTACTAAGTATTATGTATTTAAAACAATTCAATGTACTGAATCGTTTTATATACAACATACTTAGTAGTTTCTATGTCTATATATATACATTAGGCTGTATGAAATCACGGCTATAGCTGTCGCCGGCATAAGTTAAATTAAAAAATAATTGTATATACAAAAAATATATGAACAAGGAGTTTAAATTCATAGTTAACTATTTTATTGATTAATTCCTAAGCACTTTTACTTTAATTAATTGTGAATGAGGAATCTATCATGAAATTCAATTGAAGTTGAGTACTGGGTAAATATTTATATAATAAAATAGTACTGGGTAAATATTTATAATAAAGTCCATTATTTAAAATGCCACCTAGATAATTTAATCTTAAATGTCAGATAATGTGTAAATAAATTAGATTGGAGTTACGAATACGCGGTTATAGGTTACAAATTACCATTTAACGAAGTCCATGGAATTAAACTCATGTTGTGCGATTTGTGTTAATAATATATGTAACGTTCCTTAGTAGCAATAATACAAATTGGTGAGATATTTATTATTTTGAAATTATATCAATTAAATTAAAAATAATATTCCAAACTGATTTTGTTGTTCACAATGACAGTTGAGTCATTATTCAGTAACTCACAGTATGACAAACAAACTGACGGTTACTGACATATATGGCTAAAAAGCATTCCTAAAAACCTATATAAAGTTTCTTCCAACAACTTTTGGAAGTAGACTTCAATTACTTAATACAAACATTTATTTATCGTAAAGAATGAATTAAATAACTACTAGTATTTTTTTTCTCTAAGCAATTTATTGAAGCTTTCTCTATCGTGTTTATTTCTCTATCTCTATCGTACTCGATTATTCAATTTTCTTTTACATTGTCAACTCATTTATAAAAGACTAGATGTAACTTGTGTGTTTTTTCGCTCATTATCGTATTTTGTTTATTCCTGGACAACTTATTGGGACAAATTTGTCAATTTTTATTTTTATTAGCCTGAAATGATGACATCCATCTACTACCACATGTGTTTCGCATCACTATTCGCATCATTCATTCATGATTCATGTTTCATTCATTGTTTTTTTTTTCACATTTCACTTTCACAATATTTTCTTATAAATTCATTACGATTTGTGTGTCACTCGTAAACGGCTAATTTCTATTGTATTACATTTCATATTGCAGAAGAATTATTGAAATTATTTTATAAAGTGGTAAAATTGTGCAAAGCTCACATTTGCAGAGTTTGTGACTTCTACCAACCAGGTAATTTTAATTATAGTCATCTTGTTTGTCATGTCGAAAAAGATCGATCATTTATTGCGCCATACGTCTAGCATATTCTAAAATATTCATATCTTTTCGGTAATCTGGAAGTGGTTACGTGACGGCTAGATATTTTCTAGGCATTCTTATTTTAAATATATTATCTATATAATCCATGTTGTGTGTATTTACAAAACTCGCAACCTTGTTATTATGTAGGTACTCCATTCAATATAAATCAATAAAAATGATTAATAGCTTTGCTTGAAATGTTAATAATACGATAAACATACATAAATATTAATTATCTTACTTACTAATATTATAAACTCGAAAGTTTATGAGTATGGATGGATGAATTTTTGTTACTTTTTCACACAAAAACTACTGAAGTGATTTTAATAAAACTCTACAGTTATACATCAGATTAACATAGGCTGTAAATTATACGCGGGTGTAAACACGGGCACAGATAGTCTTTAATATATAAAGAAAATAACTTATTAAGACTATGTAGTTACAAATTATATTAAAGTAAAATATCTTTATGTATTATTTTTTACTTAATTATTATAAATACTTATATATAAGATATACTTTATATATAAGATTTACTATTCAGTAAATCTTATATATAAAATTCTTGTGTCACAGTTTCCGTTCCCATACTCCTCCGAAACGGCTTGACCGATTCTCATGAAATATTGTGAGCGTGTTGAGTAGATCTGAGAATCGGCCAACATCTATTTTTCATCCTAAATGTTAGGGGTAGTCCACCCCTAAATGTTTTTTTTTTTATTTTAAGGCAAGACAACGTTTGCTGGGACAGCTAGTTACATATATCTTTAATTTCATTCCCTCATAATGTACTATACATATTACATTATTATATTATATATTAAATTTTTATTGTTTGCTAATAATAGCTGTCTCTCAAAATAATTATCTTCAACATGTCGTCACACCTTTCCTTGCTTCCTGCCTAGTGACAGTCTCAGTGCTCTAGTGGTATAGCACACAATATAACTTTTGAAGGTTGTAGGTTTCATTTTTTGCACTAACTAATTAATGTTTCCTACAGACCACATAGTGGAGGAAGATAAAATGAGCCAAAAATTTATGACAATTGTTTCCAGAGGGAACCACATAGAGGTCAACCTGATATGGTACACTTCTAGCAATAAGATCATCAATCCACATTACTAAAAATAACCTTTCCCTCCAAATTTAGTGTTGACATGTCAATACAATCAGTATTATCCTATTTTTTTTTTAAACATCTCGGTATTATTCTTTCAGTTACTTGCTGCGCTCCGTGTAAGTTAATTCTGTAAAAACGGCGTCAGAAAAACTTACCATCACTGATCAGCCAAACTACAACACAATGTGTATGTATATATCTCTTTACATATCTAAACATTCTGTTTATTTCTGCAGCATACCCACGTTTTGAGGATGTGGCAAAACCCAGGAGTTTATCCAGGAGGTCTCTTTTGAATATTTATAGTTGTTACACTATACGCGTCATGATTCAATCTGATGATATAAGACTTCAATGATTATTATCAGTTCCATTGTTATGGTTATTTGTAATCAAATGGCATTAAATTTTATTGTAATACAAAAAAATATTTACAATAACATTCCATAGTTTCTAAATTTAACCTACTTCCTCATTTAGTTTACTTATACATACTGATATAAAATAAAAAAAATATATATATATATATTTATAGTGTATTTGCTGTGCCCGCAATTTTATCTGCATAGAATAGTGACCTTGACCAAATAAAGAAAAAATATTTAATTTTCTAACCCAGAAAATTCAAAAAGAATTTTTTTTTATTTTTATTTTATTTTATGCCCTTAAGGTAACAGTTTTATAAACTTTGAGTGTCATATTTATTTATATTTAATCAACAGTCTAAAATATAAGTTTCAAGTTACTTTTCTCTCTCATTTCAACCCTTTACAACCCTTTATTCACATTAAAAAGTAGTTATGTCCTTTCTCAGAATCTAGACTATCTGTGTACTAAATTTCATTTAAATGTATTCTGTAGTTTTGGCGTGAAAGCGAGACAAACAGATAGAGTTACTTTCGCATTTATAGTATTTGAAAGTATTGGTAGATAGGTAGGTAAGGATTACACTTTTTCCGTTAATAATAATGATTAGTATGTACAAAATATGTATATGTACTTAAAATAATGATAATAATATGAAAGTTCTTATATCATTGGATCTGAATCAATTGACATTGCACCACACAACCACTTGTCTGTGGATGAATCGTGCTCACTACATAATGCACTATTCATCAAAACTACCATTACTGTATTCCATATATTATATAGTATTACTATCACTATACATACTATACATCACATATTTTATAGTATTATCACTGAACGTGATCGTTAAAATTTGATTGTATTAAAAAAAGTCTATTAGTTATTGTATGGTGTATATAGGTACTATGTTTTATTTATATATATACATAAAAATGGAATGGTGGACGGTATTATTTGGCGGGGTAATGGAGGATCATAGGATGAACATGAAGCCGTGGATGTTGACCTTACAAGGTACATTGCTAGCAACTGAGTCAAAAGTCTCTATATCTAATTTCCTTAACCCAACGTTATTGTGTTAAAGAGTAAAATACCTTCATAAGATACAAAATAATAATTAATATTTTGAAGAAGAGTGGCCTCATCCTAATCCTATCCACATACATACATTCACATCGTATTATGTCTTGTTTTGTTTAACTGGCCAACAACAGTTATACAAATTAAAAATTCATTTATTATTTAATATTCCAAAACTAGAAATTATTGATTAATAAGTGAAATAGTATTGATTTTGGAAAGAGTTTATTTATGATAAAAAAAAGATAGATTCATGATATAAAATAAATTTTTGATGTTACAAACAATATTTTTTATTTTATCAGCTATATTCTACACTTTGTTTGTCATTATCAAAGAGGGTGAGGCATAGCAACGAATGCGCCAATCAAACGAAGTCTAACTGTCTATCTATTTTCACATCCTGACTCTCATTGTGTAGACAGAGAGCTGCATTAATAACTGTAATTGATAAATGTAATTTATGCTTTATACGAAATGTGGATAACACATGTTGCGCTCGCCACGACGCAATTGATAATGTCTCTGAAAACCCAATTTTACTTTTTATTTGACGTCCTGAAACTACATATATAAATTGTGTACACAGAGAGCTGCATTAATAGCTGTAATTGATATCTTCTAAATATATATAACTTAAAGGTGACTGACATAGTGATCTATCAACGCACAGCCCAAATCACTGGACGGATCGGGCTGAAATTTGGCATGCAAGTAGATGTTATGACATAGGCATGCGCTAAGAAAGAATTTTGATTAATTCTACCGCCAAGGGATAAAATAGGGGATGAAAGTTTGTATGAAAGTTTGTCAATTTTAAATCAATCGGGTTGAGACTGCATGCATAAAGTTACAATGCCGTAGGCATCCCCTAAAAAAGGATTTTGATAAATTCCACCTCTAAATGTATTAATTAACGCGAGCGAAGCCGCGGGCAAAAGCTAGTTACAACATATAAACAAATATCAGTATAGTCAGTGAGTGTTTGATGACAATCTTATGGCATGATTAATGTTCTTGTAATGCACTGCAATGATAATAATAATTGATCATTGCAGTCCGTTACACTTTTTCATTTATTCAATAACTATTTATTTGCTTCAAATATGTTATATTGTTCTTAGGAATATAGTCAGCTACGTTTTGATCCTACAAATTTAGATAAATATTAATATTTAGATGAAAGTGACGCCGCGTAACGCATTTGATATAGCGGTCTACAGTGAAATTATTGTTTTGGACAAGATTACATAATTATTAGAATCGTTTGTTCAAGTGCCGGCTCTGGGAGCATGTCTTCTTTTGAGATATAGCGTTTCAAAACTTTGGGAGGCATCAGGTGCCGGCCGCGGCACCATGCCATAGCGGCCCGCGCCCCCCATAATACTCGGACGAGCAATCCTACTAACTATGAAGCATATACCAAAACCAATAATTTCACTGTAGACCACTATGCAAAATACGGGCTAAATTATATAGGAACTTTGGCGTCATCCTTTATAAATTTAACAATTATTATATTATTTGCTTCATCGAATCAGCGCCTCTATATCTGTCGTGATATAATTAAACAAATGGAGAGATAGGCATACTTTCGCAATTATAATATTAAGTATGAATGAATTCATTGTTTCAATATGAGCACATGTTCCAGACTTCAGCAAACGGATAGAGGGACAATCTTGTATTTATAACATTAGTATGTGGTTAGGTTGGCGTGTTGATATACAGGAGGAGTGATATTAATAAAAGATTGAATATATGTCGGTGTATATAATATCAGAATTAAAAATAACAAATAATAATTAATTTAACAACTCATTTAGATCAGTAATTTGCAAGCGAATAAATTTGACATTTTGACAATATACTTTTTATTAAATGTGTTTGTGTTATATGGCTAGTTTATGCAAGGAGGTTGGTAGCCTACATTACTCCCCCCTTGAGACCTGGCTAAGGGCGATAAAAGTCTGGAAAATGTACACGACGTCCAAAACGAGTAGTACGATTTGTGGTAATATTGGAATCCTGATTGGTAGACTCGTGTTGGTCACTGCATGTTCAAATATTGTATAGTTACGTAGATATACGAATGAATGATACACACTTATGTACGCTGGGATTTCCTCATTACTGTGCTTACTGCACTGAATCTATACATATAAATAAAATTGGAATGTCTGTTTGTAATATTGAAATAACCGTTTTTTACTACATGCATATGAATATAAATACGGCACATACACCAAAATAACATTTTTAAAAAATGTTGTCTGTCTCGTGATTTGATCTATCGTGCTCGCTGCGTAAGAATTTGTAAAAAATATTTTTTTACAACATTTGGCTTAAAACATTAACAAGTGACACGGCAAAGAGATGATTTGTATTAATTAGAAATGACAATTATTGCCTTTTGACTCTTCTTTCAATTCTAATACCAATATGTTTCTGACTGACTCTCCGAGTATAGAAACCTCAAAGTAATCTGCTTTATGAAATTTTGCTTTATGAGAAATGTGGATAACACATGTTGCTCTCACCTCAACGCAATTGACAATACCTCTGAATATCCCATTTTAGATTACCGTCGTGAAACTACATATATAAATAGTTAATTAATCAGTCAACAGCTCCTCTCTCTGTGGACCACACACGCTCGGCTATCAGTCATCACATATACACATCACATATCTCATCCCTACTGTATACAGTATATCATGTATACAGTAGGGATGAGACTATCTGTGTAAAAATCGATTAAATTTTATAGTACATTAATCGAATATAAAAATTGATTAATTTTCCCACAGCACTAATTTTCAAACCCCTTGACATATAGGTGTTGTTTGTTTTAAGTATCCACTTCGTCTATTTTTTTGGCCTCTGATGAAAAAAGACATTCAGTCATGATTTAAGTAATGAGTTGCGCTTTTACAGTGAAGCTCTTGCCATTTTCCTCGATCTTTCAACTTCTTTAGTTGTTGTTACAATACCACTCCAACTTTTTCCTTAATCTGTTTGATATAGCTGTGTCTTGGTCTTCTCCTTTCTCCTCCTCCTTCCTCTCATTTCTTCTATTTTTCCTTTGATAATATTATTCATAAGTTCTTCGTGACGTATCTAGTGCCCCAATATTATTCTCTGCCAGTTTTCAATAATATTTATGACCTGTCTCTTTTTTAACCATTTTCATTACTTCTTCATCTTAACATAAAATAAAAATAAGAAAGAAAGTCATTTAGGGCTAAATCGATTAATACTTTAATCGATTGTTTAGTATGTTGAAATCGATGAGAATAATAGATTGTTAATGTAATATTTTCACATCCCTAATAGACAGTATGTACTGCACACTCAGCCGGAGTGTTCGTTATGTTTGTTTATGTACTGGGTGATAATTGAAAGACTAATGTTTCGTACAGTGTAGTGTTTCCAAGGTGTCGTCACGGTGCGTGCTAATATAGCGAACTGAAAATGGCAGGTACCCAGATATTAAATTTAATAATAAATTAAAAAGTATAAAAATTAATTAATAGAAAAATAAATGTCTGTGTTACATTTCCAGGTTGTCTGTAAGAGATTGCTTTAAACGATAAGACAGCCTTTTGTTTAGCATATTTATGTAACCTTGTTTTTTAGCAAATAATTTTCTGTGCATTATGCACACACACCAAGATTTATATTATTATTATTTTCACGTCTGAAGGCATCTTTTTTATCTTAATTATTATCATATTAAATACGATGTATCTTAATTAAATTTAAGCTGAATATCTTACCCACGACATCGTCTCCTTTTTTCTAAGACAAAATATAGACTTTTTCCTCCCCGT